GAAATTTCCGAACATCAGACTTTACCGTATAAATCAAGAAACAGGCAAAACTACAAGCCAACGAGCTTTCTCCACATGTAAACTGGGAATTGAACATTGGACATTGATTAGCTTACTAGTCTCACCAGATGGGATCGGATTCCTGTAGTTCACATTTTTCGCAGGCGGCCTGCGAACCACAACGGTTGCCCAGCTTACTCAGTTCCCATGGTCAGTACTACTGCAGCCTTGATCACTTGGGGTTGATGAGGCTCGATATACTCTAACCTTGTCCCTCGCTACTGTGCTTTTTGCTTTTCTTGCACCACACTTGCACAAACTCTTTTGGCCAGTGTACCATTTACATTAGTTTTGACCTTGGCTGCTACCGTCCCATCTTTACCGGCAGTAGGTTTTACCTTCGATGTAGATTTACTGAAGCATCCATTACCCCTTTAGGAGAGGTGTATAACCGGTTTCCTTAGTTCTGGCTCGAATGCTGTATACTTCTGTTTAAATTTAACATTATTGGCACTAACAAGAGGATCTGGTGTGATTCTCAAGTGCCATCTAGATCAGTTGAGGATACATAGGACGAAATTTGGCTTCATGCCAATCGAGCGTCCAGATTGTTGTGTTTTTAGCGGGTGTTCGTAGCTTCGAACACTGCGTATTATCGTTTCCGGCGATCGACCGGTTCAGCTCAATGTCAGAACAGGACAGGACAGGATACAGGCCTTGTGGCAGATTCAGATAGAGTCCAGTTTCTTGCACCAGGTGGGCTCAACGCGGGCGACATGGTGCTTTGACTGTCGTTTGTGTTCCGAGTGTTTCCAAGGCTAGACCTGCAAAAGCATACACTGCTGATGGGCCCATGGCTGACCGAACGATATCAGAAATAGTTTTAGGGACAGTGCGATAGCTTACACCTCTCCTGCTCAGGTGAGCCATAAAAGGGATGTACCGTGAGAATGGAAAATTACTTGTCTTAAGAAATTGGAATGTGGAAGGAGAATAAGTACCTTGGAAATGAAAGTGACTGAAGAGTAAAGATAAGTTGCAAGGGACTGAATAAATGACTGCTAGCGTGACCCATTTAATCCTGTTTATACACTCGGGAAACAGTGTGTCCCAAGATGCGTCAAGCATCTTTTTCAGGGCGCGCACACTGCCACAGTTAACAATCTCATTTGTCAGCTTGTTCCAGTTGTCGATGGTAAGCAGCTAGAAGAAGCTGGTCCTTATCGTTCTGTATACCCTTGGTTTCTTTAGTTTGAGGCTGTGGCCACGCCTTACCTGGTCCCCGTGTAGTTCAGAGAGATGTTTGGCAACTTGCGAATAACCCTTCAGGATTCTAAAGGTTTCGATTAGATCATCTCCAAGTCTACGACACTCTAGGGAAAACAGATCCAAGGCTGGCAGCATTTCAGTGTGTGTTAGTCTCCTTAGGAGGGGGATTATCCGCGCAAAGCAACGTTGAAACGTCTCCAGTACTAGTTTAACCCGGCACTAATACTGATGCTCACGCTTGGACCCAGTACTCTGAGTGGGGTCGTACAAACGCTTGGTGCAAGGGGACAAGAACCTCATGGTCTCTAGAGAATACCGTTCCACAAAGCCTGTACAGTGCCGCATTTGCTCCGTGGGCTGCTGTAGAGCACTGACGCGAGAATGAGAACGTGGAATTAACGGTAATCCCAAGATCCTTCACCTCGGCGCTTAGTTTGATTGCTTCGCCTGCAGACTCCCCCACGTACCGAGGATTGCCCACCGGTTCTCCCGCACGCAAGAGCCTGCACTTGCTACTGTTCAGAGGCAGGCACCATTTTTATTCCATGCGTGTAACTTGTTCAGGTCCCATTGCATCCCTTTGTTGTTAGGAGAGGTTGAAACTTTGGCATCATCGGCAAACGAGAACAGGGGTTTGCTACACACTGTGTCAAGTCGTTCATGAAGACCAGGAGCAGCAAAGGTCCAAGGATGGAGCCTTGAGGCACTCCACTGTGTATTTGGCCTCCCTAAGAAAGTTTGCCCGTCAGCCCTGAATTGGAAGGTGCGGCTCACCAGGTCTGCTCAGGTCAGGTCAGGTTGCACAGGACTGAATATGGCCAAGGCCAATCTA